GTTTAGGGTGGCAAAGAATACAAGCAATTACTTCCACTGTCTTCCCAAGTCCCATTTCATCAGCTAAGATCCCTCCAAGGGGCAGATTTGGCAAGGGAAATCTTTCTTTTGTGAGCCTAAAAGTAGAAGTTCAAAATTGTTGTGTGAGCAAATATTAACTCATTGATTTCTCTCAATGATTATTGATTTCTCTAAATGTTTGGTGTTTTACCTCCCAGTATAAGGATTAAAGTAAATCTGCTTTCCATCCATTGTATTGACTTCCTGCCACAAGGGGTGAATAGCATCTAATGAAGCTGCAAGAAGAATTCATTTACAAAGTCACATAAAAATTTTTACGACTGAGAAATTTGTTGAGAAAACATCAACATGCAACCCCCTCTTTCCCTCCATCTCAGCATTTTGAACTTTTGAAAATAAAGTTATTCAAAGTCCCATTTATAAGGCCAAGGTGGGTTCAGAGGTGTTCAAATTATAACAAAGGTCAACAAAGGAACAGATTTTTCCCTCAGATTCTCACAATCTGTATCAATACTGTGTTTTCATGGAAGTAGTGATATTCTACACTGCAGTTATTGAACTGCAGCAATTTTTTCCACATTTTCAACCCCTAACCTCTGGTGTCAAATGGTAGGTATTTTTCACCTCTGGCACATGAACAAGTGAAGTGCCTGGAAGGATGGGGGGTGAGGGAGGGGGGTGGAGAGCAAGTTGATGTCTATGATCAATAGCACATTATTGGGTTTACCATTGAAGTGATTTTCAAGACAATGAAGCTGACAACTTTGTTCTCTTCTCAGCATCCAATTGACTGCTTTTTTCTGATAGCCTCTTAACACAGGTTTGAGTTTAGGATGTTGAACATCATTGATAATCACCCCATTAAGTACATTATCAAACTTGGTATTCCAGACACTGCAATCACAAGTCCTCTTCCCGTTGGTGTCATACTTACACCTGGGGTGACTGTTGTATGGACAAAGATTTTCCTGCAGCTTAGAAATATGCAATGCTGCTTCACCAGTTCCACAATCTCTTTCTCTAGCCTGCTTGACGGCATCGTACAGCTCATCAAAGCCCCCAATTTCTCCCAAGACATCACATTCACCCATAACCAAATCATTCTCCGCAGAGAACTCACAAAACCAAGCCACTAATACCTTAATCATCTCATCTATTTTTCTTTTTCTAGTATCCATACTGGCAAATGGTAATTTGGTAAGACCGCTCTCATTTAAACACACCACAACCTCCCACCAGTGTTTTAAAATACGCTGTTCCGGCTTTAAAACCAATGAGATGACTCCTTTGCTTTGTAAGTAGGCCAAAGCCTCTAGCCTCTCCTCCGAAACAGAGGGAACTACAGCCTTAAAGGCCATTTGAGTCAAAGAGTCCACGTCAGGACTCTTATTTGGCTCATCAGCCAAGTTCATGTTCTTTGTTGTTGCCATTGGTTCTGAACATCGAGACTCGAATGACAATCTTACAGTGATACAAGAATATTTGCCATTAGTCCACTCCTGAGGATTAACTGAATCTGATGTTAACTTCAAACCATTACATCCCGGGCCATTTAGTCGCACCTCACTTTCTTGTTCTCTGTTGGTGCATAAGCTGATGTGAAACACACCAAGTTGACAAACATACTGCTCAGGATAATTGTTCTCCAGATTCAATTCTAAATTTCTTCGATCTAACGCATTTTTCTTATTTCTTTTTGAAGAATTCAATCCACTTCGAGTGCTTGAAGGCCCAGAGGAAGGGATGGTTGCTGATTCCTCACTCATACAAACCGCCGCCATGTCAAGCATGTTCCAAGTCATTTTAGTTCGCTTTTCTTCGCTAAACCTCTCCGGAGGTCTTCGTTTTCTCTTCCTGCTTGCCATCGTACAAAAGAACACTGCTATTTGTTATGAAGTTGAAGTCATATAACCCCTCACTGAACCCCATTCAACGAGCTCAACTCCAGCGGCTCACAATGAATCAGTTCATAGGTCGTGTATGCCCCAACAACTTGTCAATAAAATTTGCGGAGATCCTCGGCCCAGGTCCTCGCTGAACTTACCCACACTCCGTCCTTTAATACTAAGATTTGAAATGACAATTCTCTGATTTAATTACACTCATGTAACAAGTCAAGTATTGCTAGTAAAATGTGATAAAATGAGGGTCACGTTTTTATGTTAGAATGCTGACTAATACGGCTATTGTGAGGTTTCAACAAAATCTGTAAGAGCGTTATCGAGATATTTTGGGATGAAGTTTTTATGGTTAGAAATATGATAAAAACTGAAGAACCTTTTTTTTGCCACAATTTCGGTAGCCTGTTCCAGGTGTTCAGATTGTGGGGACTGCACAAAGAGATGTGAGCGGAAAAAAAAACAACGAGGGAGTGGGGTAGGGGTGAGAGCGAGAGAACTAGGCGTTCCCTCTTCTCTCCCTTTTTCTCTTTTTCTCCTTATTGTTTTTTTTCTCGCTCCTTCCTTCGCGCTGCACTCCA